CTATCTATCTATCTATCTATCTATCTATCTATCTATCTATCTATCTATCTATCTATCTATCTATCTCATATATATAAATATTGCATGCTGTTTGTGTTGTATCAGTAGAATTCTACACAAAATGAATCCTTCCCCCACAATATTGCTCTTTTTTGATGGACTCTTCCAATATCCTCATGTGCATTATTAATTCCGAGACAGAAATATTAAATGAGGTGAAGGATTAGTGCTGAGCCAAATATCATCAGAAGAGAATTTAAGAGTCTTAATATGGACTGTGTGCAAATAGGAACACTGGCAGGGAACTTTTCTTAGCAAGTTTATGGGAAGCAGGAGTTGTCTAGGATGTTGATGATGGGACAGTGGCCATTTAAAAAAAAAAAAAAAATTAGTACTTTAAGAATGTTGACATGAAATTCTTCTCAGTGGTCACAAACCAACATTCCCTTTCCCCAGCATTTGACAAAGCATCCTTCTAGGATTGGTACAGATTAGTGGCTATCAAAGAGAGATAAAAACCAGGAACTCCCAGTTCAAATCTAGGTGATTGTAAGTACGATGCTAACTGGGATAGACACTAGACTAAACCATGGCTTCCTTCCATTTGTTGTTGTTGTTAAATAGGCCATAAGTGACTAAATGAATCAAATGAACTGCAATTTAGATTAGTGCACTGTGTGAACTCAGTCCTTCTCAAATGCTACTAGGTGAAGTTGCAGCTCTGGTTTTGGTGTACGATGTCTCCGCTGGCCCTGGTCCCCTCCCAGTAAACCAGTAATGGTGCAGCTGGGAGTTTGCCACTGTGAGCAATTCTGGTATATTTCAATTGTTTCACTAGAGAAATGCTGTTTCTAGGCAGTGAACAGACAGGTTTATTTTTTAACTTCCAACTGGATAAAAATGGTGTCCATAGCCAAAGGTTATTTTCCTGGGAACATCCAGAATACTCATAAAGCAGCTTGGAGATAGAGGGATGGGGAGGGGGCAGTGGAAGGAGAAAGAAAAGAGGAGAAAGGTACACCTTTCCCCTTCCATTCCACTTGTAAAGGCCTGGGTTGCCATCTTTAGCTTGAACATCCCTGCCACAGACCCCACCTTTGTCCTTTGCACTGTTTCTCTCCAGCTCAGCCAGCCAGATATCGAAAATAGATTGGAAAAGAGTCAAAATAGTCTAGAACAATTTGGGGGCATTTTATAATGGTTTCAGATGGATGAGGGGTGGAAAGACTGTCTGGAGGTGTCTTTAGCCTTCTCCTGACTTCACTGGACTCTTGTAAGTATCCCACTCAATAATGCACACATTGAGTGCTAAGCATTCTCTTGAGGGCTGGTGGAGAAAGAGAACCCTACTGGAACCCATGGAAGCTGGGAATTCTGGGAGTTGTAATCACAACACATTTGGAAGATGTCAGATTGTGGTAGGTTAAGGTAGGTAAAAATCTCCTTTGCAGTGGGTTTGACTCCTGTTGAATTCATGTCTGTGTCTGTGACATTTTCTTGCAAAAGAATTAATTTGCTTTAGCCTTTTTTCAGAATGGGTTTTCAACTTCTCTGTCTAGTCTACAGCCCTGGGATTTCTAATCAGGTTGAATTCTGCTTAGCTATTTGAGATCAACCAAAGCTGGTTAGATGTACCACCTGGTTTGTTGCAGACTGGACAACCTTCTTGGTTGAGGTGAAGCCTAGTTAGCTGAGACAATGACTCACCTGTTCCTCCAAGTCCACCCCCAAGTCCACCCCCAAGTCCACCTCCAAGGCCAGCTCCTGTGGAAGAAAGGACAACCTCAATTCCCTTCAACAGTTTCTGAATCTCATCCAGTTTGGGACAGTGAAACGAACATCAAAAAACAAAACAATTTTTCCAGATAAATTGTACACCCAGAAATGTGACACTTCTTGTGGGTTAATTAGGTAGATATGCACTTTGTAATGCCAGTTCAGAGGAAAGAATATCCTTTAAGGATTTTTTCCCCAGCCCATTAGGTATATGGTGTCTATCCTAGGGAGAAGAGGGATGGAGTTTCTTCATTCATAAAGCAATGGGATGAATACAGTACAGTAGGACTTAGTTCGGGTTTGCAAATTGCCTAGTTGCCTATGGTGAGCCAGAGAAAGACACAAGGACTGATTCTGATGACCTGCAAGATAAATAGGCAAGCAAACATTGTTCCAGGTTTATGGCTATCCTGACTTGCACTCCCACCAAGTGTGTTTCAGTTTCTGTAAGTATTCTTGAAAGTAGTGAGGATTTTCAGGCTCTGTGGCCTACTGCTAAGGGCTCCTAAGTTAGGCTGCTCATAAGAGAGTCCTGCTGGGTCACCACAGAGATCTACCTACTCAGATAGCCTTTTCCCACTTAAATGCTCCTGGGAAGTTCAATAGCAGAACATGAAGGCAACAAGATACTGGGATCAGATTGAAAAATATGGAGGTTAAATGGATACATTCCCCATGAATGTTTCCTTTTTTTGTGCATATCTCTGTGTTTGTGCCTTTGACCAGTCTTGACTCCTGGCAATTACATGGACAAGTCAATGCAATTTTCTTGGCAGCATTTTCAGAAGTGGCTTGCCATTGCCTTCTTCCTAGGGCTGAGAGTGAGTGACTGGCCCAAAGTCACCCAGATGGCTTCCATGCTGAAGGCAAGATTAGAACTTAGGTTTTCTTGCTGCAAGGTCAGTGTCTTAACCACTAGACAAACTGGCTCTCACTTGTCTAATTAAATTAATATATTTATTAGTTTAAACTTAATAGTGTATTTGTCTAGTGTAATAATTTTGTGTAATTTAATAAAAGATCAGGGTGACAGAAATGAGTCTTCCTCTGTTTCAGCAGTTTCAACCTTTTCCTTTATGCTGACCTCTGTACAAAAGCTGTCATTGAAAGATTTGAAGACTGGCATGTAAGCCAGGGCAGCACATGGAACCTGTGAGCCCCATAATACAGGGTTCCTCAACTTTGGCAACTTTAAAACCGATGGACTTCAACTCCCAGAATTCCCCAGCCAGGCTGGGAAGTTGAATTCTGGGAGTTGAAGTCCACCGGTCTTAAAGTTGCCAAGGTTGAGGAACCTTGCCATAATACATAAGACTCCTTGTGGAACAAATCAAGCAATTTAGAGGTAAATAGTTGTTTTTTGCATAGAGCTCCTAAGCATAGTACGAATTTAAATTGTAATACTTATCATTTAGCAAGTGAGCTAGCTTTTAGCATAGCTTCAACTCTGTATTAGTGGTTAGGCTTCAAGATGGTCAGAACAGCTAGAGCTAGCTGAAGTTTGCTTTGACATCTAGCAGACATCTACCATAACAAGTCTGCTCTGAACTTTTGCTTTTTATAATCAGTGTGTGAGCAATCACGTTTATACCTCTGTAGTTCCTTGTTGTTCAGTTATAAATATACCCTATTTTCTCTATTTCGGGGTCTTGCCCATGGAACATTACTGAACATGTCCATGTGTACTTGACCTGGTTTTGCAAACCCATAACAGATTTTGGAGACTGAAGTACTCTCTGTTGTCCTGAGAAATGTAAGTCGCAAACAGGATAGAAATAAATTCAGAAGTTCCCTCTTGCAGATTTGTCACCAACACCCTCCAGATGCTGTTAGTGGCACCCTAACATTAAATACAAAATAATTTTAATGTTTTTTCCCCATCATGGTGGAACAATAGCTCAGGAATTCCCCTCAAGATCCTATGAGATTTTAGGTGAGAATGCCAAGGCTCTGCAAGATTTGGGGCTCACTTACACCTCCTGCGTGCCCTCGCAATGAGAGGGCCCACTAACTGTTTATTGTGGACATGTCCTCTCCCTCAGTGCCAGCCTGCCACCGAAGGAGGCTGAAGCTGACCAAAGTGTTTCATCTTCAAGTGGTGCTTTCCATCAAGAACACAATATACCAGTGTTGTCCAAACTTGGCCACTTTAAGATGAGTGGACTTCAACTCCCAGAATTCCCCAGCCAGCCATGCTGGCTGGGGAATTCTGGGAGTTGAAGTCCACTCATCTTAAAGTGGCTGAGGTTGAGGAACCCTGCTATATACCCTCTAGGGTGAACATTCTAATTTGCATGGAGGAGAAGCTGGGTGGGGACAGACAACCCTGCCAGGTCCCAGTTGGCCTGCTGTGGGACCAGGCCCTCTCATCTGGCTGGAGGGCTCTGGGCTTCTGCTGCTCAATTTGCTTTGGCGGCCAGAGAGAACAGAGCCTTGCCTGGCAACTATTTTTTTCCCAGTGGGGGAATATCCACCTAATCTATAAGGCCTTTGACAAGGTTGATATTCTCACTTCTCCTCAACCAAATCTTAAGGAAACAGCTGCCCCTCAACCCAGCTGCCAACTGGCAGCTCCCTTGGCAGCAGGCCTCCTGCTTATTCTTCTCTAAAGCTGAACAGGCAATGCCCTCAGGTCCCTTCGGGAAGGCCAAGGCCCTTATGGCAGGATCCTCAGGCTGCACACCAGTCCAGAAAGCCACAGCCTGGCAGGGGTACCCTTGTGTGAGACAAGCATCTCTCCTGGCCTTATCTCAGCAGCGCAGCAGAAGGAATGCCGGGATAGCAGCAGTTATTCAAGTGACAAACTTTCTTCCCCTGCATATAGACTTGCGCGTGCACATGCAACACATGGATATAATTATTTTTTAAAAAATGTTTGTCTATTCCAGGGACCACCTGCTTGATTTTATCCTCACAGCAACTCTGGAAATTAGATTAGTCTGAGAAATCTTGCCTGGGAGCATTTCCATAATATTTCCACTCCCCAGCTCTTCAAAAGCCGACTAAAAAAAATGTCTGCAACTGTCTTTACTGCTGCCAAGCTCACAATGAAAAAAGGCCAAAACCACTGCTCTGCCTCGAAGTGCCTTGTCGTGACAAAAATCCTCTCACCTTCATTTTACATACAAAGGAAACTGACAGTTTCACCCTTCCTTTTGCTCAGGTTACTGAGGAGAGATGCAAAACTGGCAAACTAGCATTCCTTTTACAGGACCTTTTAGATGGCTGAAGCTCAGGAGCTTGGAGGAGGGATGAAGCAAGAGCTTTCTCCAATGGGGAAAGAACCTGTCCCCTAAGCTTTGTTTAGCTCTGGTCTTTTTGATTGAATGCTGCTTGGCAGCTGAGCTTCAACATCACAGGGGTGTGGAAGTGATTCCGAAGTGGTGCAAACACTTTATGTGGATCAGTGAACCTCATGGCCATGTGTACATTTCCAGCCAGGCTTCTCATAGACCAACTGTGCAAATGCTGGCCTGTGCAGCTTTTTGGAAATGCCATCTAGGCTAGCAGGCAGGCATCACTATGAAGGTATGACCATGAATTTGGTAACTTAATGGTCTGTCAGTTGTGACAGAAACATAGAACTGTGAAGATGGAAGGATCCCCAAGGATTACCTAGTCCAACCCTGTGCAATGTGCAGGGAAACTAATTAGACCATTTGTGAGAGGTGGTTGTCCAGCCTCTTCGTGCTCTCTAGATGGAGAACCCACAATCTTCATGGGTAGGCTGTTCCACTGTTGTATAGATCTTACTATCAGGAAATTTGTCTTTATATGATATATTTTCCTTCGTGTTTTCTTAGATCCAATTTCACTGGGTATCCCCAAGTTCTGCCATTATGGGGGAGGAAGGAGAGATACTCATTTGCTCCACACTATGTATAATTTTGCAAAACAACATTATTTTATAAGCGAGCACAGCTATATTATTTATTTTTATTATTTATTATTTATAATAAATAATTACTTGTCCCATTCCATGAGGGACTAGTTCCCCCTACGCCTTTGATGCCAGCTGCTCCTGCAGAGATCAGTACATTCTCAGGCAGTGCAGAAACCAAGGATTTTTAACAATTCTTGGTCATTTCAATGAAGCTTATAAAACACTGGTCCCAACCCTGAGATTATATTGGTTGTTTTTTCCCCAGGTACGAGTTCTGAGCCAAGTATATTTATATCTATATTGTACACTTCCCATTTAGGGGAATTTGACAAAGCAGTTTGAGGAATGCTTTTTTTAAAAAAAAAATGGGCATACATGGATTCATTTCAGCCACTAATAACATCCCTAATTTTGCTGAAGAAAAGAAATAGCACAATAGGGTAATAACTAAGGCAAGGAAGGAAATGAACTTGCAGATGGTTTTTGGATAAAACAATAAGTGTAAACAAATTGCCAGTGAAAGCAAGATAAGATCACAAGGTGATTTATATTCCTTAAGACGCCCCAATGATCTTTTCTCCCAAATCTCTCCTAAGTGAAGAAATAAGACGACAGAATCTGCCTGAGATAGAAGATCATGACAGCTTTTTTCCCCCACATGAAATACCTACACTGTTATGAAGGGCAATGAGAAGGGTAAACAACCTGTTTTATAAAATTATATTGGATGCTAAGTGAAGATTTTAATCTGTGGAGGGAATATCCCCTATACTCGAAAGCAGATATGGATACAGACATCTTGAAACACTGCAGAGTGCCACCATTTAAAGTGGATCTATCTAGAGCAGTGTTTCTCAACCTTAGCAACTTGAAGATATGTGGACCTCAACTCCCAGAATTCCCCAGCCAGCATACTTGGGACGGTGCAGATTCTTACCTGGGTAGAACCCTACTCCTGGAACGCCTGCTCCAGCACCTGGAACCCCTGTCAATAAAATAAGAGACAGAAAAGCTTATTTTTGGATTTTGTGGAGAGAATGGATGGAACCCAATCTATTCATACTCCCTAACTTAACCTCAATGGCCAAGAAAAAGCATTAAGCAGCTTTGGGAGAAAGTCTGCCTCCCTTCCCCCTTCCTGCCTGCCATTTTCTCCCTGTCTCTTCCTTGCTCATGGGTGTTGACAGGGAGGGGGCAAAAAAGTAAAGGTGGTGAACTCAACCACATGATCAAAGGCCCAGAAGTCAAGATGGTGACCACAATCATGCAACTGAAGCCCTGCCCTTTTTTACATGGGTTGTGATGTGCCATTTACCCTTTCCTGGGCTCACCCAGCATCATAAACTAATGGAGTGGGTTGGATTCACTCAACATGCCAAGCCATTAAAACAAAAACAGACACCTCAACCAAGATGACAATGAAGCAAGCTCATTATGTCATATAAATACAGCTATTAGATCATTAACTTAAGGTCTTGCGCGAACACAGTCAACAAGTTCAGTAGGACTAATACCCAGATGAATATCATATTTCTATATACACATACACACAATGAATATCATATTTATATATATATATATATTTACACACACACACATATACATATACATACACACACATACACACAATGAATATCATAAAAAAAAAAGAAGTCCCCTCTCACCCCTATGGGTGGTACATGTCTTCCCCAATCTCGGGTCCTCTACCAGAGGCCCAGGAGCTTGAGGGTTCTGTGCAGCATCTGAGCTGTTCCTAGCCCTGCACTCTTCTGGACAGAGCTCTGATAGTGTTCCTGGGATCTGTTGGAGCCCCTCTCCCAGCTTGGGAGTCACAACCCCGAGTGCAGCTGCTGTGCTCTGTCTACTGTTATAGTAGCATTCCATCAGTTCCAGGTTGTCTCATCTATGCATGGTTTGTTCCAGTAGCCCACTTATTATCAGTTTGTCCTGGTTCCCAACATCTGATGCAGACCTTGTTAATCCAGGCGACGTCCGAGCCAGCATGACTCTCTTAATTCGTGTCACTCTCATATTTGAGGCAGGCAGGTGAAGCGTTAGGGGGTCTTTGCCCAAGGACCCCTACTGGTAAGGTAGGTACCAGCCAGGATTCAAACCCTGGTCTCCTGCATCATTGGTGGTGCTCCAACCACCATGCTATCCAGCTGCTCATATAATAAACACACACACACA